CTTCCAGAAAGACAGTTCCCGAGTCGGGAAGATGGGGTTGGGAAGGTACGAGGCATGACTGTGTAATGAGCACGCTCAACATGCGCGATTACACGGACGATCTGATCATCTCTCCCAACCCCAGCCTCCCCACCGGATAATCAGTTGTCTTTCTGAACCTTGGCAAGGCTGGCCATCGATGCCAATTCGCTGCGCGGCCGCTTGGCTGCGGGGTCTGGGGATGCCTCTTCCTCTGCCGCGCCGGTGCCGTCGCTGGCTGCCGCGGGGCCGTCGGGACCGGCGCGCCGCTTCCGGTTGCCGGTGCCGGCGGGCCCTGGGCCGCCCGGGGGAGCGGCGGAGGAGCTGCCTTCGCCGGTGGCGGCTGCGTGGCTGGGCGGAGGGCCAGGTTGCGGGCGAGTTGCTGCGTCGCCCTTCCTGGAAGAGGCTGCAGGGCCCAGCTGGATTGGCACTTCCAGCTGCAGTGCCGGCAGGGACGCGCTGTCGAGGAGCAGCAAGCGCAAGCTCGGGTCCTCCTTGTAGGCATCGCCAGTGTCAAAGACGCGCCAAGCCGCTTGCAGCTCCCATGGCTTCGGTGCGGACCCCTTGACGCGCGCGAAATCACCCTTTGCGTCACGGGAGATCGTGACGCGCCACATGCCGAGTTTTTCGCTGTAGCACAAGATCGTGGGCTTGTCCGAGGCCACCTTCTGCCACACTGGGCGCCCATTGAGCGGCTCCTCCTCCTTCCTGTAGACGCCGTGCAGCCGCTGGGCGTTGCGCGCCTCTGGCTGCCGCCCGTGGAAGAGCAGCACCTCCGCGGAGGGGTCCACGGAGTCCATCTGCAGCATCTGCAACAAATCTGCCAACGGCACCATCTCCCTCTCCTGGCGCTGCACGGTCGCCTGCGCTGGCTTGGCCGGCGGCGCCTGCACTGGCTTCGCTGGCGGCGGCGTTGGCCCCGGCGCTGGGACGGGGGGTCCAGCTTTGCCGCAAGTCAGCTTGAAGCAGCAGGCGCACCTCAATCCCGTGCGCACGGCCATCTTGGCCGCCACGCGCCCAACTGGTCGAGCGGACCCTCCCGTGGCTGGGACTCCGACCCGAGCAGCGGCAGCCGCGGCCGCTGCTTCTGCTGCGGCTGCCGCCGTCGCTGCCGCGGCCGCAGCATCGCGAGCAGCGGCCACTGGGGTTGCTGCTGGAGCTGCTGCTGGAGCTGCTGCTGGTGCTGCTGCTGCTGGTACTGCGGCTGGTGCGGCTGTTGCTGCCTGTGCAGCAGAGGCTGCGATCGCAGGCTTGGCGAGGAGTACCTCCTGCGTCCTCGCAGCGTGCCTCGCCGCCTCCTGCCTCGCCGCCTCCTCCTGCACCTAGGAACGGGGTCAGCGAGCGAAGCAGAGGATGATGATGATAAGGAGGAGCAGGAGGAGGGGGAGGAGATGGAGGAGATGGAGGAGGAGAAGGAGGAGGAAGCGGAGGAGGAAGATGTTATCCTCAACTCGAAAGCTCTCTCGACCTAAACTGATCCAAGGCTTGGTTTCGACCCCGCTACAGCTGACCCGATCAATCCTGCAGCTCAAAGCTCTCTTCTCCTACTCCTCCTCCTCCTTTCTGAAGTTGCGCGGACTTAAACACCTGGGGGCTGAAGTTTCAAAACTTCTTCCTGCTTCTCCTCATTATGTTCTCTTCTCTTGTCCTCTTCTGTCCTATCCTTCTCCTCCTCTCACCTCGTTCTCTTTTCTCGGTCCATCTGTCTGTGTGTCTCTAAGTCTGTCGGTCGGTCGGTCTGTCTGTATGCCTGTCCCCTCCTCCGACACCCCCCTCCTTTAGGGGGGCCATCGTCCGTCGATCGGGGCCCGAGTGAAGCAGGAACAGCAAGAGGAGCAGGAGGATGGAAAGGAAGAGGAGAAGGAGATATGTATGTGTACACATACACATACGTTTATCGATCAGTACACAGAGCGAGAGGGAGAGAGAGATAGATATAGAGAGAGAGAGAGAGAAAGAAAGAGAGGGAGAGAGACAACAAATACATACATACGGCGGAAATATTCCTACACACATATATATGTATATATATACACAAACATTTATGTTATACATTTGTATATATACATCTATATATATATATAGAGAGAGAGAGAGAGAGAGAGAGAGGGGGAGAGAGAGAGAGAGAGAGAGAGAAACAGCAAAGAGAGAGAGAGAGAGAGAAAACTGAGAAAAAGAGAGAAAGAGAGGGAGAGAGAGAGGGAGAGACAGACAGACAGACAGACAGACAGACAGACAGACAGACAGACAGACAGACAGACAGACAGACAGACAGACAGACAGACAGACAGAGAGACAGAGAGACAGACAGACAGACAGACAGACAGACAGACACACAGACCGACAGACAGACATACAAGCAGACAGACAAACAGACCGACAGACAGACAGACCGACAAAAGAGACAGCTACGGACCGGTGAGGGGGTTAAGGGGAAGGATGCAGGAGGAAGGAGGGGAGAGTAGGCCCCCTTCCCCCTCTTGACGTTGATCGGACTTAAGGCTCAGCCCTCTTCCTCTTCCTCCTCCTCCTCCTCCTCCTCCTCCTCCTGGTATACCCCCTTGCCCTTGGCCTGGAATCTGGCGCCCCGCGGGAAGGGCCGGGAGGAACTGAGGACCACGAGGGACGGGACCGGCAACTGGCTTCCTGCCGACTCCCGGGAGCGGTTCGGAGCCGCGAAAGCTCGGGCACTGGAGAATCAGACGAAACTACAACCCTCGTCAAAATTAACCTCAAAAATGTCTTACGTGGCCGAACTGTTTGTGGGGAGATACTTGTCAGAGTGGCGGTGACTGCGAGGTACTTGTATGCGCCGCCCCTCCAATATCGGTCATCATCAAACTTCCGAGTCGTTCCCGGTCAGACCACTTTTGCCTTGGCCCCGACATTGGAGGGGCGTCTATCGACATTGAAGAGCGTGCCGACATAACAGGGGCGTGGTCGCCATTTTTGAGGTTAATTTTGACGAGGGTAATAAGACGAGGATACATCGAGTGAAGATATATCGAGAACTTCTGAGATCCAGCGGCTCTGGAAAATGTACTGGGCGCCGGGGCCTTCGCAGAGCGGTCCGGAACGTTCTGAGAAAGGTCCAGAACGCTCTGAGAGCGGTCCAGAACGCTCCAGAACGGATTTATCCTCGTCCTAGCCCCCGCCGGGGAAGAAGGGCTGACCGTCGTAGCCTCCCGTTGAATGAAAAACTTTGAACCTGACGCTTAGGAAACACTTCGCATGACACCCTCCACCCACCCGGCCTCAATATTGAACACGTGCTCCTGGAGAAACATATTGAATCAACTTCTGAACCGCAATACTTGCCAATATGCTAAGGCCAGGGGATGGAGGGTGGAACTTGGTTCTTTCTAGTTCGGGCGTAATAGCAGTAGTAGTAATAGTAGTAATAGTAGTGATAATCGTAGTCGTAGTCGTAGTCGTAGTAGTAGTCGTAGTCGTAGTCGTAGTCGTAGTAGTAGTAGTAGTAGTAGTAGTAGTAGTAGTAGTAGTAGTAGTAGTAGTAGTAGTAGTAGTAGTAGTGATAGTAGTAGTAATAGTAGTATTCGTAGTAGTATTCTTAGTAGTATTCGTAGTAGTAGTCGTAAGATTTGTTGTCGTCGTTGTTGTTCTTGCTGCTGCAGCTGACGGAATAATAAGGGTCTAAATACTAAACACCTACTACTCCGTGCATCGGATACACGGAAAAACGTCCTATTTATCAAAATACTCCATGTATACAGAGTAATAGGCGCTTACCATTCTGTTTATCGGAAACACGGAATAGTAAAGGCGTATGACTCGAATGTAGAAAAATAGGCGCTTGCTATACCGTGTATCGGACACACGGAGAAATAACGGCCTACTGTTCCGTGTATACGCGGTAATCAGCGCCTAAATTTCCATGTATTCGATAAACAGAATAATAACGGCCGATTGCTACGTGTGTACGGAAAAATAAACGCTAATGATTCCGTGCGTCGGACACACGGAATAATAAAGGCCTATTACTTTGTGGACATGGAATAATAAGCCCGGAATGTTTCGTGTATCGGATGCACGGAGAAATAACGGCTTATTACTCCGTGTGTGCAAAATACTAAACGCCGAATATTCCGTGTATCGTATACACGGAATACTAGGAGCCTACTATTCCGTGTGTGCGGAATAATAAGCGGCCTATTACGCCGTGTATACGGCACATTCGGCGCGTAATATTCCGTGTGTCGGATACACGGAATCAGAAGGGCCTATTACTCCGCGTATAATGACATACGAAGCACGTACTATCCCGTGTATCGGATCCGCGGAGGAACAAAGGCCTACTACTTCGTTTATACGGATAGATGGAAGAAAAGCAACTTATTACCCAATGCGTACGGAATTATAAACGCCTCATATTCCGTGTGCCAGATACCACGGGGCAATAGCGTCCTCTTACTCCGTGTCTGCGGAATAATAAGCGCTTGCTATTCCGTATATCGGATACACTGAATAATAGCGGCCTATTACTCCGTGTGTAATACTAAAAGAGCGCTTACTATTCTGTGTATACGGATACACGGAATAATAGCGGCCTGTTAATCCGTGCATAAAAGAAATAGGCGCTTACTATTCCGTGTATCGGATACACGGAATGAATGAAACCCATTACTCCGTGTATGCGGATACACGGAGTCAAAGCGTACTTCGTGTATATGGACACACGGAGAAACGGCGGTCTATTACTCCGTGTATACGGACACACGGAATAATAGCAGCCTCGTAATTCGTGCAACGGATACGCGGAATAATAGTTGCCTGTTACTCAATGTATACGAATATGCGGAAAAATAGCGGCCGAGCGGCCTATTACTCCGTGTATACGGACACGCGGACTAATAGCGGCCTATGACTCCGTGTATACGGACACGCTGGCTAACAACGGCCTATGACTCTGTGTATAAACAATAACGGGCGATTGGTATTCCGGGTATCGGAGACATGGAATAATAACGGCCTCTAATTCCGTGTATACAGCCTAGTAGGCGCATACTATTCTGTGTATCGGATACACGGAGCAACAACGGCCTATCATTCGGCGTATAAAGAGCAATAGGCGCTTACTATTCCTTGTATCGGATACACGGAATCATAACAATCTATTATAAGGTGTATACCGGCGCCAGGGGGCGTCGCCGGTTTGTTGTTGTTGATGATGTTGTTGTTGAACATTATTAATTCTAAAGAATAATTATTGTTGGGACCCCTGGTGCACGGCCCCCCCGCCGCGCCTAGGCCGCAGCTACATTTCCATCATTTTTTCGCGAAAGCTTCAGAAAAGTGGATGGGGTCCAGATCCGGTTGTTTTGTTGTAATCCGTTTTCCCTTGCAAAAAACACTATAAAATGACATTTCTTGTTCTAATATAATCAAATTTCAAGAATCCCTTGCAAAAAATAAGGTAAAGTGGACATTCGCGCGCGCAAGACGAAATCCTTCCAAAAGCTTAGTGTTCGGAGCGATTTTAACATAAAAACATCAAAAAACCAATGGTTTTTCAACAAACAAATGTCAAAATCTCATCCCGCGCGCTCTTGCGGATTCGTAGGAAACCCAACACTTTTTAAACATTTCTGTCAAACGGGCTTTTGCGAGCAACTTTTTCGAACTTCTGCGACAACGGTTGCGCACCTGCCAGGGCCATCATCCCTGTCAAATAATACCATGCGGGACACATTCGTTTTTTCTTCGCGCGCGCACGCCGAAATCTCCAAAAACCATTGGGCTTCTTAAGAATTTTAGCACCGCGCATCATAAAATCACACGAATCGCACCGTAGGTCCTCGAAAAACACCTGCACGACTTTTCAAAATTTCTACCCGCGCGCGCTGTCCTAACAACTTCTGTGGGTGTGTACTCCACGCCAGTGTAGTAGCCACGGTCGTCCGCAGGCCACGAAGTGAAGTGTCCGAACGTCATAGGGCGGGAAGCTGGGTGTGGGTGGTGGCGAAGAGTCGTGTGGATATTTGGTAGAGCTTGCACTGCCCCCCCACAAAGTGGGGGTATTGGCTGGCGTCGCATGAAAACCCTGGCACTGGTGAGAACACTGAGCGTTCGGGTAAAGTGATTGTTGTTGTTGTTGTTGTTGTTGTTGTTGTTGTTGTTGTTGTTGTTGTTGTTATGATTGTTGTTAGTGTTGTTGTTGTTGCTGTTGTTGTTGTTGTTGTTGTTGTTGTTGTTGTTGTTGTTGTAATTCTTTTTGCTGTGGTTATTTCTGCACAATGTGTTCCTTCAACCGTGTGGCCTGGTTTTTTATCCCCCATTCTGTGGGCGGGACGAGACCCGATCCTTTCGCTCCCCGTCGGCCTTGCGGCGCGCCTCCTCTTCTTCGCGCCGCCGACGCCGCCTCTCCTCCTCCTCCTCCTCCTCCCTCTCCTGGGGAGGGGGACATGATTGTCGCCGCCAGTCGTCTCAAGTGAAGCTGCAAAGCCCGCACGACGGCCGAACGAAATGATTTGACAAACCTTGGGAAGAGGGGTGAGGAAGTGGAGCTTGGAAATGAAGTTGAGGCAAGCAGGCCCCGCCTCGGCTCCTCCCCGGCCTCCAGCTTTCCCCCCAGCCCTGCCTCTGGCCCTCCCTCGGAACCCTCCCCTGTCAGCGTCAATCCTTCCGTCCTTCCTTCCCTCCCTCCATCCCTTCTGTCTGACTACTCTCTCCTCGTCTTCCAGCCTCCGAGGCACCTGGGGCAATGCCAACTGCACACCAACGGCGAATCGACGAACCGAATCAGGCCCTTGCTTGCTAGGACCAAGCTGTGGGCGTACGCCCTCACAGCCAGCCTGGGAATTTGAATACTTACAGCTTCCTGGCCAAGGGTGGGCTTGTCCATGTCTGGTGCAGGATTGCATCTGGGATGCTCGAAACCCTGGCCTGGCCGTGTCAGCCCACTCCTGGGCCGACTGGTGGCGGCTGGGTCTGCCAGTCGTTAGGTAAGATATCATTCCCAATCGCGACAGCCGCACGGCTAGGTCCCGGAGGAGTCCGGTAGCACTCGTCACCAAGAGCAGAGAGGAGCGGAGGAGGCGAGGACAGGACTCGTGGGCCCCGCCTTGCGGCGCGCCTCTTCAGCCGCACGCCGCCGACCATCCTCCTGGAGCAGGGCTCCGCAAGAGTACAGACCAGCAAGCATCCCAAGGGGCAGCCAAGTCTGAGCTGGGGCCCGCAAGCGACAGCAGAAACACCCCAACGCACCCATTCTAGAAGAAGAAACACCCCAACACACGCGCCGAGGGGGGGCCCCTCCTCCAGGCAGAAGCCGCCCTTGGCGGGGAACAGATTCTTCGAGCTCCTTGCGCTCAATTCGGCGGACTTCCGTTCTCTGTGCCATCCGTGGGATGCAAAAAAGCCCACCAGGCAGATCTATCACAACACACATAATCTGCTGTTTTCCGCGGCGCCTTCCTCCCAGCGATGTGCCCCGCACGTACAACTGTCGTTCAGGAGTGCGTCCGTGACCTTGTCGACAGGAAACCGTTCGGAGGCGTTAGCGCCAACATTCCACCAGCCCCCCGGGCGTAGGTGGTATAATCATCCAACTCTTCCAACCCTCCTTCTTCCCCGGCTGGGAGGGGCCTGCCCGCCACTCCCCCCCCCTCCCCTGTGTCTAGGCGAGGTGGTGGGCAGAGCGGTCAGGGGGCGCGTTTGCGCCCATGGTGGCTCCAAGGTGGTCCCAGGTGCCCTGACACAGCCTCCAGGCAAGCGCAAAGTGGGCCCTCTTGGGTCCACATGGCACCCGACATGCCTCCCATAGGCCGCACGATGCCTCCGAGCCAGCTCCAGATGGCCTTGAAGCCTCCCAAGGCTTTCCCCTGTGAGGGCATCGTCCTTCAACAGCAGTGTTTCCTAATGACTTGTGCTTCTCGCCCTGGTTGGCTCCTGGGGCCTCCAGACGGCCCCAAGATCGCCCAAGAGAGCCCCAAGAGGGACCCAGGGCGGCCCCAACAGGCCCCGACGGCCCCCAAGAGAGCCCCACGAGAGCCCGACGGAGCGATGCCACTTGCCACCGTCTCTTTTATTTGATCGATGTTATCCAGGACCTCCAAGAGAGCCCCACTAGCCTTCCCAAACCGCCCAAGAAACCACCAACATGGGCCAAATCAGCGAAGGTCTTTATGGTTGACTCCTGGCTTCTTCGGGCCCCTCCACTGAAACGACACACTCACGAATCAATCGTGAATCCCTTCTCGGCGCCCTTACGGAATGCCTGAATGATTGACCCTGCTTGCGCAAGAAGAAAAAGACCACGAACGTGATGAAGCGGTCGTCCCATCCCAACGTCTTTTTGTGCCACCGCGTGCTCTGGTATTTGGCTGGGTCATAAAGCTCTCACGAAAGTCGTTTCTGGATGGTCTGGTAGGGGATATGAGAAACGTCTTAGATCCAAACCGTAGGGAATAAAGCCATAGAGAAGAAAGCCATTGGGAAGAGCAGGGAAAAGAAAGCCATTGGGAAGAAAACCACAGGGAAGAAAGCCGTAGGAGAAGCGTCTAGAATCAAACATCCGTAGGGAAGAAAACCCATTGGGAAGGGCACGCCGTTCTTCTTGAACGGGCCTCTGCAGGGGGACTTCGCTTCCATCCCGGCCGCGGTGCCTAAAGCGTGAACTTCATCTGAAGAGGCGGGGGGGTGCGGGGCTTTACCTCGACGACGAAAAAAAAACGCCATAAACATAAACTTCTGGCGCTCTGCGCGGATTTCTTGGATCTGCGCGCTGGCGCGCGGAGCGCGCCAGGGGCGGCGTCGGAGGCGCCGCTGGGGGGCCCAGGCGCGGATCCAAGAAACCCGCGCGGAGCGCCTTTATGTTTATGTGTTTTTTTTCTTCTTCGATGAAGATGCGGGGGGGGGCGAGGCTTTACTGACAGCTTCCCAAGGCAGTCGCCTTGGATTTCGCTTCCAAGACCTCCTCTGCTGGACCCCCAGACTTCCACCTTCGGTGGCAACTCATGGGAGCCTCCCATGCCATCTTGCTGGCTCTTGCGAATCGGCGCTAACCAACGCTAATCGACGCCAGTCGACGCTGATCGACGCTAGATCGATGCTAGTCGACGCTGCATCGGCGTTTTCAAATCGATTACCACACGCCAGCACATGCTTGTGCACTCTAGGGACGACATTCCGAGGGCATAACAGGCTCCCACGATCTGCTTCCGACCGCCCCTGCACGAATGTCGGGCGCACGTTAACATGGATTAGTGATCCGTGGATCTGGTGCGTGGGCGCCAGATCCATGGATTGGGGAAGGTACCCCCGACACTTGAGGCCAGTGCCGCCTCATTTGGCGACAGCGCGTGCCAGTTTCGTATCGAATCGGAACCTGTCGCTAATCCACGCGCCTTCAATCCATATTTCGGCGGCGAGCGCGGGGGGGGGCGTTCTCGGAAGGCAGCGAGGCTTCGCAGGAGCCCTCTGGCCTCCTTAGAATCTCTCGGCGTTTTCGGGGAAGGCTTACCAAAACCTTCTTAGAGGGCCGGGTGACTTCCGAGCATTCTGAGAAGGCCTGCCCCTTCTCAGTTCCCTCCGGGGCTCGCCACCGACAATCGCCCATTCATCGCCGCTAGGGGCCCGAAAGCCCACCCCGCCCAGCACCCTGCGGCTTCGCCATCGAGAGCCTATCGCCGATCTGCCCGCGATGCATTGCCCATTTCAGCTCGATGTTTCCCCCCCTGAACTGGTCTTACTTCTCGGACGCCTGGCGGTTTTTGGGTCATACCTCGGCTCTCTGGCGGCCCTTCGGGACGATCTGTGCACCCCCGGGACGCCCTTGGCGAGGCGCAGCCGCTGGAAAGTCTCCCGAAGCTGGCAAAAAACCGCTGAGAGTCTTCGAAAACGTGCGCGAAAGCCCTGGGTAGAGGAACAAACAATGACATAAACATGAAAACTCGGAGGTCCGCGCGGATTTCTCGGGTCCGCGCTGGACCCCCCTCCCTGGCGCGCGGAGCGCGCCAGGGGCGGCGCCCGAGGCGCCGCTGGGGGGCTCCAGCTCCGATCCGAGAAATCTGCACGGACCTCTGGGTTTTATGCTTCTGTCACTGTTTGTCCCCCTACTGGGCTCGCCGCCGAATATTGGCGCTCCCATATCGAGAGGTGGCGAAGAGCTCGCCCCTGCAAGGGATGCTGCCTGAAAGGGATGCTTCTTTACATGATCATCCCCCGTCGCTCGAATTCTCTATCCTCCTCCTCCCTCCTTCCTTCCTCCTCCTGCGCCCCCCCCCCCTCCCCACTCCCTCCCCGCTTCCCCATTACCCCCTCCCCCCCTCTTCTTCTTGCGCCAGCAGCGTCGAGCATAACATCCCCCCCTCGCCCTCCTCCCGATCCCCTCTCTCCCCCCTCGCCCTCCCCCTGATCCCCCCTCTCCCCCCCCCCCAACCCCCCCCCCCCAGCGCGCGCACGCCCGTGCCGGGCCGCTCCTCGGGCGGCCCCGCCGCGGCCCGCGCGGGCGGCGGCGCCCGCGGGCCTTGGCGCCCCGGGGGAGGGGCGGGGGGGGGGGGCGCGCGGAGGGCTCGGTCGGGCATGGCCTCCTACGGGCAGGTTTTGGACGAAACATACAGAAGAGTCAAAGCATCAACAAACATGGGCAGACATATAAAATAATCGTCTCCATTTGTTTGTTTTTTTTGTTCTTTGTGTTTTTTTTGGTTTGTGTTTTTTTGTTGTTTTTATGTCTTTGCTTGTTCTATTTTGGAGTGTTCCCCCTGTAGAGGGACAGGCCCGACTTCAGCGCAGGGGCGCCGGGGGGGGGTCGAGCTGTGCGGCCAAGCCCGCGGATCACTGGGCCTCCTCCTCCTTCTCCTCCTGCTGCTCCTCTTCCAGATCCCGGGCGCCTCCACCTCCGCCAGATCCTCGTCCTCGCCCTCGTCCTCGCCCTCCTCCTCCTCCGCATCACCCTTCGCATCACTCTTCCGCAATCTCGTCCTCGAATGCACATTCCCCCCTGTTCCCCCGTCCTCCTCCTGATCCTTTTTTGCGTTGAGCTAGCATGGTCCTCCTCCTCCTCCTCCTCCTCCTCCTCCTCCTCCTCCTCTTCCTTGCTCCACTTCACCATCATCCTCCTTCATCTGATCGGGTCGGAGCATTTTCGCGCGAGTCGTGCCCAAAAAGGGGCTGCATACCAATGATGACAATCAGACGACTGCAATTGCTGAGTTCGTCAACACACATAGGAAAAGGGAATGGAGGACAGATAAAGGGGAATTGGGTGGGGGGACCAAGACTCACTTCCAGGAGGACCATATTTGAAACTCACCCAGCGACGTCGTATGCGTCACCCCTTCTTTAGGTGGAGAGCGCGCGCTTTTTCTTTTGCCACTAAATGACACGGTCCTTGTTCCCTACCTAGGCTCTGCCTAGAAGGGTTCTTACTCTCTCTTAGCTTAAAGGGGCCGGGCGGTGCAACACGCCCCGAGCGGTTCCCCCAGTCCCCTGGGAGCGGTTCCCCCAGTTGTGCCCCCCTAGCTTTAGCTTTAGCTTTAGCTTTAGCTTTAGCTTTAGCAGTAGCTTTAGCTTTAGTTTTAGCTTAGCAGTTTAGCCTTAGCTTAGCTTTAGCTTAGCTTTAGCTTAGCGTTAGCTTAGCTTTGGCTTAGCGTTAGCTTTAGCTTAGCTTTAGCTTAGCTTTAGCTTGGCTTTAGCTTAGATTTAGCTTAGAGCTTAGCGTTAGCTTAGCTTTAGCTTAGCTTTAGTTTAGCTTTAGTTTAGCTTTAGCTTAGCTTTAGCTTAGCTTTAGCGTAGCTTTAGATTAGCTTTAGCTTAGTTTTTTTAGTTTATTGTTACCGTTACTACTAATGCTGCTTTCCTAGGGGCTCCAACTCCTAGGTAGGGTCGCACTGGGATAATTTTTTTCCGCCGTTAGTCGTACCTTGTGCCGCATCCCTTTCCCCCTCCTCCGCCTCCTTCTCCTCCTCGTCCTCCACCCACTCCTCCTCCTCCTTCTCCTCCTCCTCCTCCTCCACCCTATTCTCCAGCTCCTCCACCCTCTTCTCCTCCTCCTCCTCCACCCTCTTCTCCTCCTCCATGCACCGCCTCCCGAGGCGTCGGCCGCCTCTCGTGCCGCTCGTGGCCACGGCGTCGTTGCCGGCAGGACCGACCTGGGCACCCGCCGGCACGGGCGCACCTGCAGCCGCGGCGGCGTCGGCGCTGCTGGAGGCGAGGTGCGGGGGCATCTTGACCACGAAGCCCTTCTCGTTGCTGCCCGCGCTCTCGAACGGGGCGCTGGCGAGATCTTCTCTTTCTGCCATGCGAGAGCATCGGGACAGCGAAGGGGATCTCCAAGTGCGCTGCCGACACCTGGCCTCCAGAAACTCGGAGCGCGGAGCCTGGATGCTGGGACGGAGCATTTTGTGGCACTGTCCGGAGTCTGATTTGGCGGCGAGCCTTCAGAAATCATCTGGAGGACCTCGAAATGGGATTCTGAACGTGCGTACGGCCCGGCGACAATCACAAAATCGGGCTCCCGCAATCGAGTTGGGCGAGCTTTCGCCCAAGCGCCGCAGGCCCCTCGGAAATAGAGCGCTGCCTTCTTCCAAAGAACGTGGGGGTCGTGGGCACGCTTGGCAGCCATTTCAGGGTGTTACCTTGGTCGGTAAGGGATCGAGAGTCGACAACGCCACAGGGAGTCATTGCGCTTGGGCAGGGGCTTGTCAGGCCTGGTGTTCCTTACGCTGAAACTGCGACCTGACTTGGCACGCGACACAATACACAATTCAATAATGGCGCAAACGTTACGCTAAGAGTGAGACAGGCTTCAATGGTTCGATGAGTATGTCGCTGTGATCACAGTCTACATCAGCTGGGACCTCACACTCCCGAGCCCTACCATTGGCAAACTTGTCATCAAAGGGATTCAACACAACATGGCGCCAACATACCGAGCCGAGCACACTTCTGGGAGTCCTCCAACACATAGGATGGGACATGCGCGAGAAAGGAGTCAGGACGGGCCTCAAGGGGGTTCCAAAACCTTCACGACAAGCCACTGTTGGCTAGCTTTGGCAAAAGGCCCCTGCCAGCCATGTGCGCTTTGACAATTGTACTATGGTTGGTGGCTTTGTGCAGATCTTCGGCAGGACCACCCAACCTGAGACACTCGACGATGGGCACAAGCTCTGCACGATGCACCTTCTGTCCAAGGTATTCAAGAACTTCTGTAACAGTGCAACCACGACGAACTTGGGTAACGACGATGCACTCTGATGGAGAGACGTTGGAAAGTCTGCTCCGTCCCATGACGCCTTCCAGCCAATCATTCAGGATCGAACGAGCCAGGACGGTGCCCCTGAGCTTGCGGGAGTCAGGAATCGGGGGCAGGCGAAACCAGGGCAAAATAATCAGGCCGCGAAACCAAAAACAAGCGAAGTGCACTCGTAAAGCCGAGCCAGTCCGTGCGCACACTGAAGACATCGCCTTGGCAACAGGAAGGGAGGCCGGCCAGCAGCCTCTCTGTGGGGCCAGGGGGTGCCGGGGTGAGGCGGGCGAATTTCTGGGAATTCCCCCGGTCGCCCATGGCCGCTCGTTCTTCTGGCCCCCAGGTCGGTGCGCGCGCTGCTGCGTCCCCCCCCCCCCGCTTCTCCACAATTATACAAATACTACTCTCCTCTCTACCCTGGTGGCGTCCGGGGATTGTTCGGCCCTCTCCGCGTACTGTTATTTACACACAGGATGCTTTTTCAAAAAAAAATTGTTTAAACAGTAAAAAAAATCTTTTAAGATGCACAAATTAAGAAAAACTGCTCTCGATGAAGCGCTGGCCTCATTTTCGGGCTACCGCTCATTCCGAGTCGTGATCGTGTTCCCGCTGCAGCTCTGGCGTCATTATTTCCAGCGCCATGCCTGGGCATGGTTTTCGGTCCTTCCAAATAGGCCCCGAAAACTAACACATGCCCCCTCGAAAAAACCATCGGAATTGATTCCACATCGGTGCCGATTCGTTGATTTTCTGGGCCGCAGAAACCCCCTCCACTTTGGGGCGCCGCCACGTCATGTTATGTCAGGCTATGCGTCCTCATTTTTCTTTGTTTGATAAATGTTTCTTGCTCAAAATGCTGCTCTCACTGAAGCGCTGGCCTCATTTTCGGACTACCGCTCGTTCCGAATCGTGCTCCCGCTGCAGCGCTGGCCTCATTTCCGCGCTTCCGCTCGTCCCGAATCGTGCTCCCACTGCAGCACTGGCGTCATTATTTCCAGCGCCATGCTACGGCTTGGCTTCGGTCCTTCCAAATAGGCCCCAAAATCTAGAAAATAGCCTTCCGGAAAAACCATCGGAATTGATTCCACATTCGGTGTCGATTCGTTGTTTTTTTGGGCCGTAGAAGCCCCTCCCCACTTTTGGGCGTCGCCACGGCATGCTATGTCATGCTACGCGTTGATCTTCAACACCATGCTCCCCATGTAATGCCATGCCATCTTGCGACATCCGATTGTGCGAGTCGAGAGGATATCTACGCCTTGGTAAGGGATGGGAGGGAGGGGTAGGACGTCAGATATGACGCCAGCGCACCTAGCTTGTTCTCCTCCCCTTCTGTCATCATCTGTCATCCTCCACTTTCCCCCCTCGCCTTGTCGGGCCTGTCCTCATCTTCGTCGTCGTTTTCCTGCTCGGTGCCCCTATATCTCGCTCTCTCCCTGTTTCGTGCTACATTCTCCGCCTCTCCGCCTTGTCCCTGCTCCGAGGGCGCGACAGGTGCTAATTAGCATGCGTGCACGAGACAAGCCGCAGGAGAAGAGCGACGAGGGTGCGTCGAGGACACACACGGCGAGATCTCTTCTGCCGGCCCTCTCTGCTGCGTCGCCTCCGTGGCCGGCCTCTGGCCTGGCGCCCGCCCGCGCACGGCCCAAGCATTTCCAGGCTCCGCCCGGCGCGCGGCGGAGGCCCGCGGAAGCGGCCATCCTGCTGCTGCTGCTGCTGCTGCCAACGGCTGATGGAGGTGGTCCCGCAACCGCCTGTCCAGCCGAGCACCGCTCGTCTCAACACAAAAGGGGGTCGGGGGCTCAAAGCGGCCACCCTGCTTGCTGTCCAGGGGGGCACCCCGGGGCCAGGAAGGAGCGCAGCTTGGAGGGCGGGCGTCCCGAGCCCCAGAGAGCTCCTTGAGCCATGGGCTGTGGAACCCCAACTGACGCATGTGTCCTGCACTCCCGAGTAGCGCCAGACTGTACAACACAAGAGCTAGCACGCGTGCGAAAAAAAACAAAAGAAAGTGGCGGAGAGGAGAAGAGAGGGGGGGACGAGGATGACAAGGATGGAGACATCTTTCCTGCTGAAATCTCTGCCTCTTCAGCGGGCCTGCCTGGCGCCGGTCCACGCACAACCACGCTCCACCCAGGGCGCGCCTTTGGCCCGCGGAAGCGGCCACCCTATCTAATTACGCAACCACCTGTGAACCCAAATTGCCCCTGCAGGTCAGACTTTTGAAACGCTGGCTGGGACTCAGAAGCCAGAAGATGTCTGCAGCCTGGGGAACCACAGCGGGGGTGCCCGACACCCCAGCGTCGATGGGACCCGCAGGGGAGGGTCCGCAGACGGTCGCAGACCTATCGTCAACGTGTGCTGGCGCGCCGAATTCCGCGCGAGCCATGGCCGGCCCGACCATCGCGGTAGCCTCAGCGGCTGCCCGAAGGCCTAGCGAGGCCCAAGGGCTCGCCACGGAGCCTGAGAGCGCGACGCCTGCACCAGGGTGCCAGGGGGGCCGGCCGGCCACGGTGTGGCCTCGGCGGCTTCTCGCTGGCTCGCCGCTGAGCCTGCGAAGCGAGCGTGCGAGACGGCAAGCGCGGCCACACAAGAGGCGCGCCCAAGCGGTAGGAGAGCCGGTGGGAAAAATTGGAGGCACAGGCAGTGGACAACCCCTCATCGTGGGCGACCCCGGCTGCTAAGCTGGCTGGCCCGTCGATGTTGCGCCCAATCACTGCCAGAGAAGGGAAGGGGAGAGTGCAAGGGAGTGGGAAGAAAGTTGGGCGCGATGGCCCAGCCCAACAGACAATGTGAGCTTGTGTGCGCCAAGCCCTTGTCCCACGTCTGGACTGGGAAAGGGGGGCCTGGCCCCACGCTGCCCCGGCGCTTCTCATGGGACCGTCTCCACTCCGCCATTCGCTGGCCAGCCGTCACCGTGCCCGCGTACTTCCGACTGCGGTGTTTTCTTGTCGCTTGCGTGGGGCGGCGGCGTCCGGCGTCGGTCGCCAGCTTAGAAGCCGCGCCAGGCGGATCGCGACGCCACCCTCCTGCTCGCCATCGCTCGGACGTCCATTCCTCGTGCATTTTTCGGCTTCGCGTGCGTATTTTTCGCAAGATGACCCAGAATGCTCCTCGATGGTTCTTGCCGAGAAAAATACACACGTCCGAGCGATGCCGAGCCTGCTGGAAATGGCCTGAGGAGGCCTCGCGCTACCCTTCTTCTCTTGAGCTTTTCTTGCCCCCGCGGGGCGGCAGCTCCCAGCCCCTCGCCTCGAAGACATCCTCGAGGCGGCCGCCGCGGCCCTGGGTAACTCTCCGGGTCGGAGCTCGTTTCGCTGCCCTCGCGCTCGCGCGCGGGACAGATGCGCGCCCAGCCTTTGAAGTCGTTGTCCTTTTCCTCCTCCTCCTCCCTTCCCTCCTCCCTTCCCTCCTCCTCCTCCTCCTCCTCCTCCTCCTCCTCCTCTTACTCCTCTTACTCCTCTTACTCCTCTTACTCCTCTTACTCCTCCTCCTCGTCCTCCTCTTACTCCTCCTCCTCCTCTTCTTCCTCCTCCTCCTCCTGCTCCTCCTCCTCCAATCCCTTTCCTTATAAAAGACTTCTCCTTTTCGCATCCCGAGGCTGGTCGATAGGGCGGGCTGGGCGTTTCGCCTGCGACTTCCTTTCCACTTGTAACCCTGAGCTTTAAAGTTGACAGCAGTTTCACATATGGGGGGCGGGTCGTTTTCAACATGTGGTTTTCGCCTTAGCGACGCGTGCATTCGTTCTAATAAGTTGCAAGAGTTTCACGGATTGAGGGCGGGTCGTTTTCAAAGTGTGGCTCTCGCTGTAGCGACGCGAATACTCATTTATGCAAGAGTTCCACGGATTGACGGCGGGTCGTTTTCAAAAGGTGGCTCTCGCCTTAGCGCCGCGCGCATTCGTTAAACAAAACAAAGCTTCGCGGATTGAGGGCGGGTCGTTTTCAAAATGTGGTTCTCGCCCTGGTGCCGCGCACATTCGGTTTAAACATTTGCAGAGCTTCACGGATTGAGTGTGGTTCCTTTTCAACATGTGGCTCTCGCCGTAGCGCCGCGCACATTCCTTTCGAACAATTGTAAGAGTTTCACGGGTGCCCATGGTCAACGTACCAGAAACGGCGTTTTGGAAATATTCAAAAGTTTTGGGGTGCAGAAGTTACTTCGACTCGTAATGTTGAAGTCCCAGGCGTTCTGGCACGATTCAGGGTCGTCAAGACGCAACAGTCAGGTTGGTCCGGCACGCTTCAGGCTGTTCGAACAATTGCCTTCCAACGAGGAAGTTCCCTCAGTGGGAATGAATCGCTGTAGGGGCCTATGAAGAGGGAACTTGGAGGGAGGGTTTATTCCAACATCGTTGATGATTCTTGGGTTTACGTTGGTCCTCTTCCTCCTCCTCCTCCTCCTCCTCCTCCCCCGCCTCTTCGTTTCGTTTCCGAGCAGCTTGGAACGTGCGCGTGCGGGGAGACACATGCGGAGCGACAAGAAAAAGGACAATCCGTGCATCGACCCTCCTTAAGAGGACGACATCGTTGCTGCATCAGCGCCTCCTGGCTCATCAGGGAGAGGGGAGCAAATGGGAGAAGACTTATGGCTCAGAGCCGCTCCTCCTCACTGGCGATGTCCTCCCCTTCGCGCCGCTCGACCTGGTGGCACCCCTCGCGCAGATTCTGCTCTCTCGCGGGTCTGGCGCAGCCAGCGGTGCGAGCCGGCTGGGGGCGGCTGCGCCTGTCGTTCTCGCCTGACCCGCTTCCGGGGCGAGGGGCTCAGGGCTTATGGCTGCTGAGGGCCTTCGTGAGGCTCAGGGGTTCAGGCTCAAGGCCTGTTGGGGAGGACCCCGCGGGTCCCGAGGGTCTGGGCACGCACCAGAAGGTGGCCTTCCACGCACTTCCGGCGGGGGAGGTGACGCTCGACCCTTGCCCGTCGCGGCAATGGGCTTGGGCTTGGGCCCAGGACCTGGCGGCGCCGCGGAGCGTGCCGCGGCAGGTGGTACGTGAAGCTGTCCTGCGTATCCGCTGAATCACCGTCACCTCGCCGTCCTGGCTTGGAGTTCGGCGCTGAACGGCACGAAGGCGACGTGGGGCAGCATCGCCCCCATGGCGTGACGGGGCCAAGCCCTAACGGCTCCGCCCTGCAGGCCCGCACGCCCAGGGCAAAGCCCGAGTCCTGGAAGGCTCCTTGAGCCAAGGGATGCGGACCCAAAACGGCCAGGGCGCCCACCCTGATGCGCGTATCCTACAGTCTCCGAAACTGTCACGGACGATGTGTGCATGTAAAGATATTTGTTATATAGATGTGAAGTATCTCTATCTCTCTCTCTCTCTCTTTCTCTCTTTCTCTCTCTCTCTCACTCTCTTTCTCCCTCTTCCCCCTCTATCTGCATCTATATTTCCCCCCCCCCCCCCCCCGCGCACTCAAAGATACACAATTTCGGGTACTGTACAAAGCGTTTCTTACATCGATCTCCTCATCTGCTTCGTTTGCATGTCGTGCCTCCCTTCCGCTGCTGCTTCTTAACTGTCTCTATATGTTGTGTCTTGTCTTTGTTTGCTTCGGCCAGCCGTAATTGCTGCGGCCAGCGCCAACATGTGACTTTCATCTGAACAGGACGTTGCCCCACAATCCGAGGAACTCTGGGGCATCCGAAAGCGCCTTCCTGGATTGTCTGGACTCTCGTCGGCTGCTACTTTTTTGAGTGGACGGAGCACGCATCTCTATGAAATCCCTCGAAGGATCTGCACATCTTGAGAGGAGGAGACGAAACAACGAGCCTATGATCCCACGTCGCCCAGAACTCCTTCAGGAGGCCGATGGCCGCTGTGCTCATGCCGTGGTCTGTCCTGCACCTGGCCGCGGCCCGGTCATCCCGTCGCTGCTGTCTGCACACGGCTGGAAAATGCGGAGGCAGAGACCATGCGAACGTGAACATGCAGGAGACGATCTACTTTGCTGTCAGCGCACAATTTTTGGAGAAGGAGGAGGGGCACGAGGGATGGCACGAAGGAGGGGCACGAGGGAGGGCGCGAGGAAGGGCATGAAGGAGACGATATACAGCTAGATATCGACTGACGCAGTCCGCCGCCCCCTCGTGCCTACCCAGGAAGGTGCTGCGAGACCTCGGGGCGTTTCCCGCCCACAATGAGTGGGCGTCTTCACCATGACAGACACGGCCATGGCCTCCTGAGCCTGCAGAGCTCCCGGAGTGAGCACAGTGGTGTCAAGAGTAGGCGGACTTTCCGTAGCATGTGCAACGCTACGCGTAGGCGCACCAGTCTTAAACCCGTTGTACTGCAACAGCCTCCCTTATTTCCAGCTGGGACATAAACAACCTTGGTGTTGTATGATGAAGGTGTGAAGGCTGCCTTGTAGTCCTAAGCGTACATTGATACGCTCGAGACTATTCGTTCGATACTTAACCGTCGCACGCTGTGACGTCCCACGATACTGCGTATAGTGGTGCCGCTTAAAGTCTTGCACGATTGGTGAATACTGCGCCGGATATATGAGAAGCGACGGAAACCTCGATGCGGCTTTTTCTTGGGGATGGCAAGCACTGATACAATCGTTGACCGCAAGAGGACTCGACGGAGCACCAGTGCGAAGACTAGGCGGAACGCATGCCGCGTGAACAACAGCTGTATTGAGGCCGCGTGGGCTGTGAAGTGGCGGCGCTCACTGCGGCCATTTCCCTTTTTCTAGCCCGTGGCCTCCAGGACGGCCCCAAGGGCCTCGCAAGGCTCGCGAAAGAGCGCCAGGGCAAACCCAAGAGGGCCTCCACGGATTTCGACAGACTCCCCAAGGGAGTCCGCAAGGGTCCAAAGAAGCTTCCAATGCGCTCCCAGAGGTCCCCGCCTTGGCTGTCTGAAGGGCCGCCTGGGCTGCCTCCAGCTTTGGCTGGACGGGTGTCCACCCTCTTTGCTTCGACGTGTGGCCTTCCGCTCCCAGCTCCTGGATGGGCTGGTGGTCGTCGTCGTCGTTGTCGCTCGGCACTCGTCATCGTCGTCGTCGTCGTCGTCGACGCCGACAACGACGACGCCCTCCGCGCCAGGTGCGTCAAGAATGCGCCACGGCCGCCGAGTCCCAATTTCGTTAACGCGTGCACAAGGAGGGAGTGCACTTGCAGCGGCTGGTGTGCCTCGCGCCTGTGTCTTCCGTAGTCTCGCTCGTTGCGAAGCAGTAGTCAGCCCCCCTCAACGCATCGATCCCAACATGCGTTCACGTGTGTGTGTATATATATATATATAGCAAAAGTGTTCATACGTGGCAGAGGCGGTGTTAACATTAGAATTACAGATGAATTATGTTGTGCAACCTTCCCGGAGCGCGGTGGCGGATTCGCGCGCCAACGCAACTAGACTCAACTATGGGAACAAGAAGGAAGTACGACATGTTCAGATACACGCTTGCTCCAGAGGCTTGGTCCCACATGGTTACGGGCTCCTTTCTAATCATTCCTAGCCCCAGGATGGCTTCAGGAGAGTAGGAACACGTACAACATCTGCGAATCGAATCAGTTTGCCAGCGCGGACCCCGAACAGTGAGTTCGTACACTCTGGATGGGCAGGCTGTGTGGTGGAAGCTGTGTGGTGGAAGCTGTGTGGTGGAAGTTTTGTGGTGAAGCTGTGTGGTTGAAGCTGTGTGGTGGAAGCTGTGCTGGAAGCACGTGGTTGCAATCTGTGTGGTGGAATCGACGCGGTTACGGCCTACGTGGTGCACTCTCCGCGGTGGAAACTGTGTAGGACGACGAGCTGCGTGGTGCAGCCAGCGCGCCCACGAGGCGCCCGCCCGCCGAGCGCCCGGAGAAACCCCGGCCAACACTGGGCGCCCACGCGGGCGGCCACGGGCGCCGACCAAGCCAAAAGCCCGGGACTCCCCGCCACGGCGCCCGCGGGCGCCCACCAGGCCCACCGCCTGGAGCTCCCCGCCGACACGGGGCGGCCACGGACGCCCACGAGGCGACAACCGGGAGCCAGCACGAGGCGCCCACGAGGCGAGATCCTGCAACTCCCGGCCAGCACGAGGCGCCCACGAGGCGAAAACCTGCAACTCCCAGCCAGCACGAGGCGCCCTGAAGAGACGGCCGCGGGCTCCGCCAGGCGAAAAACAGGAACGCCAGCACATCAAGCAGATGTTCCTGAGCGTAAGCGATGTCTTTGACAAATCTTGCCTGGGGCGATCATGGATCCGCGCAGAAAAACAATTGAGGTCTCCACAAGGCAAGCCAAGCTGGATAGTTTGCTGTTGGAGGACATTGGAGGACGATGGGAACCAAGACAATGACATCAAAATGATCAAATCAGACACCACTTCGGCGAAATATGGACGATGAGAAACCTTCAATCCGCAAACGTGTAGGACCGTCTCTGCGTGCGACTGTGTCTGGATATCTTACGCCTCCCTCCTGAGTGCCATAATAATTCGCATTATCTCTGGACCCCCGGACTTATCGGAACTTGGCACATTTGGGTGATTGGCAACAGGGCTGTTGCAGTCGGGCTGGTACAAGGTTCCCTGCGCACGACAATGCCATCGGAGCCAGAGAAGTATATGGGGAAAGCAAGGGCCCTATAAGCTCATCCTTGGAGGTTCTCAGGTTTGCCTGTAGCTCGCGTCAACTTGGAAGCCTGTAAATCTGGACCAGGCGAGGCAGCCAGTCAATATACCAACGGAATGAAGCATCAAAGTGGAATAACATGGAAGAAAGACGCGTTCCTTGGTAATGCTTTGCATGCGGCAAGATATTCTGGACTCGCCTGGGCTGCAGCAACAACGGCACACTAGGGCGATTCTTGTTTCCATCAGGTATTTGCTACCACTGTATTATCTGCATGTCTCGCCTGTCTCAACCGACCACTGCTTCGAATCACTTCCTCTGTCTGCCCCTTCCCCATCTGGATAGAGTCCACCGCCTGGAAGCACACTCTGGAAGCGGGTGGCGCCCCTTGCGCAGCAAAGGAGCGCGTTGCTATTTTCAGAGTGTAAGCGCAAGGCGTTTTTTCACTGTACCGCCCTGCGGCCTCTTCGGCTACGATCCCCGCTTCACGAGGAGCGCGCATTTTTGTACGTACCGATGCACTTCCGCACGGTGGGGCTTCGCGAGCTGTGTGTGCGTGTGCGTGTGCGTGTGCGTGTGCGTATGTGTGTGTGTGTGTGTGTGTGTGTGTGTGTGTGTGTGTGTGTGTGTGTGTGTGTGTGTGTGTGTGTGTGCGCGGGTGTGCGGGTGTGTGCGTGCGCACAAACTGCGCACGCGCGCGCGACATGCGCGGAAGCTCGTACATCTGCACGCCCACGAATAAACACACACGCGCACATTAATGTTCGCATGCACGCACTCGCGTGGACGCTCTCGCGCGGGCACGCGCACACCCTGCACTCATGTGTAGGCCCAGCCCGAATCCTCACGTTGCCAAAGCAGACTGACGTACGTGCAGAACCGACCGCGAGTACCGCGCAGGCCATGCGCGGGTATGTGCAGCGGGAAGGCAACATGGGCTAGCCAACATCGATGCTCTCTGTTCGCCTCGGATAGTTCCGTAGGTTGATAGAGACATTCTTGGCACTTCCCGCTGTGACTGTCCGAATGAAATACTGTATTCTCAGCCTGTGGCATCTGGGCGCTCCCTGGCGGCTTGTCCATCTGAGTATCCCAATGCCCTGCCTGCTGCACAGGGGCGGTCTTGGGGCCCCGAATGGAGGGGAGTCGGGGGTGCCACAGCCAGCATTTGGCCCAAAACATTCCTACACACTGGTCGCGAAAGTGCGCGTGCAGAGCCCCTTGGCGGCTCCCCCTTGGGGTGCCCAAGAGCGATGCCTTCTACACCGCTCATAGGGCGCTGAAGCCAAACGCATATACCGCCTTAAACAAGGGAGGTGCTGGAGACATCGCCACAATCTGAGCGCGGACTGGACAGTAAGACGCCCCTTGTCGGCTACCCCCTTGGGGTGCTCAATTGCGCTATGTCTCCTACACTGCGGCGAACAGGGGGCCAAGAACTCCGAAAGGAGAGGCGCTGGATGTGCAATCCGATTCCATCGCTCGAGACATCCTCGCAATCAGGGCGCGGACTGGCGGATGTAGCACCCCCTGTCGGCTCACTCATGCAACGCGCTTTTGAAGAACCCCTTTCCCCCCCAGCTCCCCTCCCCCTTGAGTTTTGCTCCAACGCTCCTCGACGGTCTCAAGTGCCTGTCAACATTGAATTGTCTGCGGCTCATGCTCAACTGCGCCGATCCTCAATACGCACACAGCGCACGCCACGGCACAACTGCACCACGTGCAGACCTGATGCGCCACTGCGAGGGACTGCGCCCTCGATCCGCACCCGAGCGAACTCCAGAGTCGATGCACCTGGGCCCAGCAGTGCATTTGCACATGAAGTGGTCGGTCCAACCACACGCGCCCAACACATTCCTTGCCATAGCCACGCGACCGCACTTCCACACATTGCTTCTACCTCGCGCCGGGAGAAGCGCACGAGACGACATCATAATGATAATGTGACGTGCACGCCCTCGAGAAAACGTAATTGCTTGAACAACCTCTCGTGCCCACGATTTCAGAACATTCCAGCATGCAGCTGCTGGGGCGGTAGCTTTTACTTGGCGGGGTTGGCTGGTCACCGTCACCCCCGTGACCCATTGATCAATTCATGCTGTTTTCGCTGCCCCGTTGGTGCCACCATGGGTGATTAGCCAGGTGCGCACCCCCTCCTCCTGCTACCCCTCCGCCTCCTCCTCTTCCTCTTCGATTCCATGCAATGCAAGGCCGCAATTTCAGGCCTGCCTTGTTTGAGTGCAGTGCCGCTGCGCACTGGGTCATGCGGCGCGAGTTCCCCTTCGACACCCTGGAATCACCATAGCTGCCACTGCTTTGCCGTCCGCCACGAACAGAATGGCCAATTTCCGGCAGTAAGCTCTCACCTCGGCGTGGTCCTGCGCAAGCAGCAACAGATCTGTGAGGCCACCGGAGTGCCGCGATAGACCACTTGATCGCACGGCCGAATCCACCGACCGCGTAGGCGCCTGGAGGGCACGAAAGTCGGAAGGGGGCGCAGCGAAGGAGTGCGATCTGGCCAAGCCAAGACAATTCGCACGACACCTGGCCGCAGGCGGGACCGAAGCCCGCGATCGGCGCAGCAATCGGGGAGAGGAGGGGCAAAGGAGGGGAAGGAAGGAAACGGAGGGAGCAGCAGGGAATAGCAGGAAGATCTGGGTGGAGGAGGAAGAAGAGAAATGGGGGGGGGAGAGGAGGAGGGGCGCGCTCCGACTTCCGGGCAACCTGCAACCCGTGGGGCTGACGTTCGTGCGAGCTTTTGCGGAAAACCCAGGCCAGTCTCCGTTTGAAAGACGCCGAGCTTCGTACGGGATTCTGCGCAGAGCGTCTGGGAGGAGATGGAATCTTGAGGATGAGGGGGATGAGAAGGACGAGGAGGAAGAGGAGGAGGAGGAGGACGAGGAGGAACAGACACATTAACTCGGGAGGTTCGTCTTGCGGCTGCCTGCTGCTGCTCCTCAGTCTCCCATGCCTTGTCCACTTGGAGAGACCACCGAACAGCAGGCGAGGCCGCGAAAGATGATGATGATGATGATGATGATGATGATGATGATGATGATGATGATGATGATGATGATGATGATGATGCTGATGCTGATGATGATGATGATGATGAAGGTGATGAGGATGAGGATGAGGATGATGATGATGAGGATGATGATAATTATGATGATGATGGTGCTGATGAAGATGATGAAAATGATGGTGATGATGACGATGATGATGACGCTGCATATGTACAGATGATGATGATGATGATGAGGAGGAGGCAAAGCAGGAGGAGGCCAACATACGACGACGACGACGACGACGTCCCTCTACCCTACTTGCCTAAAGCGGCCAACCTCGTCAGAAGGCACCGTCAGGCGCAGCTACCGCAGGGCAGCATAGGCCGCGTCGAGATTTATAGCTGGTGACGGAGAGAGTGAGAAACATGGGCGAGACAAACTTCCTCAATAACTGGGGCGGTGCAAGTCAGGATCCCCCATATATTTGGCGGGTCGAATGCGAGCGGGCGGAAACGCAGAACAGTCGAGACAAACTCGGCAAGACGAGGGCACGTCGCATACATAGTGCATCTGTCGATCGAGCCCGTTTTTACCCCCGAAGTAAATCCTGCACGGCCACGCTCACGCACATCATGTCAAAATTGGAGCTCGCTCGGATGGGCCCGTCAGGCCACATAACACAAGAGATCAACTGGGCAGTCACTGAAGCCAAAGGGTTTCACGACGCGGTCGCAATGCACACAGGCCGTCTTGGCAGCCCAAGGCTTTCAAGAAAGAATCAAGCCCCAATGCGGGGCCAACGCCGCGTACCGACCATTCACCTCCTCCGACTTATTCCCACAGGAGCCGACTCCTGGAGCAAACCTTTGTGCCCCAGAATGACAATAGCACGAAGAGTAAGACGACGAGCGAACGGAGCCCAAATCCTCGCCCTCGTCTCGATTGCTCGCATTTGTTGACGTTCTCTTTGCCTCGCTCCCCCCCCGTCGGCTTTCCCTAGTCGAGTGCGGGCAGCAGTGCAGTCGGGAGCGGCAACGCGCATCTGCACCTCGTTCGACCGCCGCTGGAAAGCAGCGGGGTGCGTAAGCGAGACCGAGCCACCTTCGACGCGGATAAAATCAGCTGCTGAAGCATGAGAGCCAGGGAGACGATCGGTAATGCGAGCGTCTTGGCGCCAGACTGCCCAGGCAAGGGCACGGGCAAGTAACAGCAATGTGCGGGGGTCCGACGGTCGCTTGAACATCATCATCTCTCTCGCTTCTCTGCTGGCCTCTTGCTTTTGATTGCAACCACCCTGTGGTTTCGGGTCCTCGTTTGAAGAGACAGCGCCCTGCGTTCCTTCCTCCTCTCCTGTCCTGTCCTGTCCTGTCCTGTCCTCTCGTCTCTCTTCTCCTCTCCTCTCCTCTCTCCTCTCTCCTGTCTCCTCTCTCCTCTCTCCTCTCTCCTCTCTCCTCTCTCTCCCTTCTCTCCTCTCTCCTCTCTCCTCTCTCCTCTCCTCCTCCTCTCCTCCTCCTCCTCCTTCTCCTCCTCCTCTCCTCTCCTCTCCTCCCCTCCCCTCCTCCTCTCCTCTCCTCTCCTCTCCTCTCCTCTCCTCTCATCTCCTCTCCTCTCCTCTCCTCTCCTCTCCTCTCCTCCTCCTCCTCCTCCTCCTCCTCCTCCTCCTCCTCCTCCTCCACGAAAGTTCCTCCCTGTCGCACCCCAAGGGCGGTCGTAACGGCGGGCTGGGCGTTTCGCCTGATACATCCTCACCATTTGTGACCCTGGTGCGCAAACATTTGCAAGAGATTCACGGATTGAGGGAGGGTGGTTTTCAAAGTGTGGCTCTCGCATTAGCGATGCGCGCATTTGCTTCAAACACGTGCAAGAATTTCACGGATTGACGGCGGGTGGTTTTGAACATGTGGCTCTCGCATTAGCGCCGCGCGCATTCGTTTCAAACATGTGTAAGAGCTTCACGGATTGAGGGCGGCTCCTTTTCAAAATGTGGCTCTCGCCTTAGCGCCGCGCGCATTCAGATTAGACATGTAAGAGCTTCATGGATTGAGGGCGGCTCCTTTTCCAAATGTGGCTCTCGCCTTAGCGCCGCGCACATACGATTTAAACATTTGCAATCTATTCACTGCTTCTGAGGGTTAGCGTGCCAGAAACAGCGTTTTGGAACGATTCGTGAACGTCATGGCGCGACAGTTACGTTGACTCGCGGTGTTGAAGTCACAGGATTGGTTTTCTGGTACGATTCAAGATCGCCAAGACGTAATAGTCAGGTTAACTCGAGGCGTTGAAGTCCTGAGAATGGTGCTTTGGCACGCTTCAACACGTTCACACGCTTGTCCCCCAACGGGCAAATTGCCAGTGGAAATGACCCCTTCTAGGTGCCTATGAAGAGAGATCTTGGAGGAAGAGTGTCTGTCAACATCGTTGATGATTCTTGGGTTTGCACTGGTCTTCCTCCTCCTCCGCCTCCTCCTCCTCCTTCTCCCATCCGTGCCTCTGTTCTCCGCGTGTCAACCAATTCAGCACACCCTCGCACGTTTCGCGGCCTCATAAGGAGCTCAGCCATAGGCCACACTGGCACCGCCCGCGCGCGTCCGACACACTCATTTCGGACCATCCCTCACGATGATCACGGCCCCACAGGGAGCTCCACCGAAACTCCCAAGGGCGGGCGCCCGCATGCGCACGACCCCCCAAGTTCTACACACCCTCACGAGGATCGTGGTCCCATAGGGAGCTCCACCGAAGGTCACAGGGGCGCCGCCCGCCTGCGTCCGCTCCGCGCATTTCGGCACACCCCTCACCAGGACCGTGGCCCCATGAGGCACTCCACCGGAAGTCCCACGGGCGCCGCCTGCATGTCCGACCCACCCATATCTGCAAACCCCTCACCAGGATCGCCGGCCCATATGGAGGCGCTTCCGAAAGTCCCAGGCGCGCCGCCCGCATGCGTCCGACCTGCCCATTTCGGCACACCTTTCACGAGGATCGCGGCCCCATAAGGAACTTCACCGGAACCCCCACGGGCGCCGCCCGCATGCGTCCGACAAATTCATGTCCGCACACCTCTCACGAGGATCGCCCGGGGGGGCCGCCCGCATGCGCACGACCCCCGGATTTCTACACACCCTCACGAGGATCGTGGTCACATAGGGAGTTCCACCGAAGGTCATAGGGGCGCGTCGCCATGCGTCCGACACATTGATTTCGCCACGCCCCTCACGAGGATCGTGGCCCTATGGGGAGCTCCACCGAAGGTCCCAGGGGCGCCACCTGCATATCCGACCCACGCATTTCGGCGCACCCCTCACGAAGATCGTGGCCCCATAGGGAGCTCCATTGAAGGTTCCAAGGGCCCTGCCCGCATGCGTCCGATCCGACCTGCCCATGTCGGCACACTCCTGACACGTTTCGCGGCCCCATGGGAAGCTCCACCGGAAGTCCCTGCGGCCGTCCTCGCGCTCGCCTCCTCCGCCCATGTCGGCACGCCCCTCGATCGTGCCACCTGCCCTGCGGTACTCACAACTGCATATGGCTGGGTCAATCGCCAAGGATCTTTGTCTCTCCATGCGCCGAGGGGGACGCATGGCCACAAGCTGGGCCTCCTCCGCAGAAGTGAACTTAGCCAGGGTCAGCTTGAACTCCTGATGCACGCGCGCATGCTTCGGGATGGGGCGCTCCGACAGCTCTTGGGGCTCCCGTTGGCAGAGAGAGAGAGAGAGAGATCGTGAGGGTAACGCGGTTACTTACTTTTGACCGATGAAGAACTTCAGAGGGGGGCCCTTCGACACGGGCGCTAGCATAGACCTGGTTCAATGCCCACCCACGCCACGAGCACCAGAGACTGTCAATCGCTGCGACGGCATCTGCACGAGCATCACAATGCGTGGCAGCTGCAGGTGCGACCTCCACAAGACAATCCAAGGCGGCAGACAAGCGCGGGGCTTGAGCGTGCAAGGGACGAGCGATCCTCTGAGCCTCCGAAGGCTGCGAGAAACACAATTTACCTCTCCCGCGAAGTTGAAATCACCGAGATCCACAAGCATAATCGACACAGGGCGGCCTCCGCAAGCACTATTCAGATTTCTATGACTGCACACGTCCCGAACTTGTTCTGCGGATGCATCATGCTTGTTTTTGCTATCATGAATTATCTTGTTGCCCTGGTTTCCGAAGACAGCTGCCAAACTTCGGCCAGGAATCAGAGCCAGGGGAGAGGCGGCAACACTAGGACATAAGCTGGGGGGACTGCCTCGGGTCAAACTCCCAGGGGCTATCCGGGCAACCCCGCCACGGACTCGCCCTGCTCGGTCATCGACGCAGAAGCTCCAGGAAATGGAATCCCCCGACAAAACGCATCTACTAGCAAATGCTGGCTGCGCCTCGCACGGGTGCGCCTCCTGGGGAGCAGTGACTGATGAACCCAGTCGGAGCCTCAGGGGATGACCGAATTTGACACCAGCGTGGGTTCTTCGTATTGCAGGAGAGCTCCCGTTTTCCACGAATTGCAACGCAAACCCCCAGCTGTGGAGGCGTCACGCAAACATGGGAGTTGAGGGCGAGCAAGGAGAGTGGCGAGCCTGCCAAATACACCACTCAGGTTCGCGATCCGGTTGGGGCACGTCCTGGACAACTTCTGCCAAAGCCGCCTTGGTGAAGCCGTATTTCGTGATGGTGCCAGGGTTCCAGAACACTTTGGTCGCCTAGCGGCCTGGGAACGTCTCGACCTTGCACAGGGCGTCCCACCACCCCAATGACAACCAGCCACGATCACGATCGAAGAAGACTCTCTGTTTGGCGCCGAAGACCCCTGGATCGATGATCTCGTTTCTGATCTGTTGCGGATTTTGTCGCCAGCGATGTGCAGGCGAATGGTTCCCCCAGCATGGGTGGGGATGTCGAAATCGCGCCACGTCTTGCCCGTCCGCATGCTACTATGGATCCTCAGCACCCTGCGGGACGCCAAACCTGTAGCACCAACCAAGTGAACCGCGATTTTTGCGAGTGGGTCGAGCGCAGACATGGCGCACATCAACTATTATGCGAATTTCCTGAAACCACGGCGTGATAGCGTCGACCACGGACTGCTTCGACACGGGCTTGCCCGCGTTGGTCTTGACAAACGTAGCGTCGGTGTCTCTTTCGAAAGAGCCAGATCCCAGAATAGCCTTGGGCGCTTGGAGCGTCGAGTTGGCAACCATGAGGGCTTTCGAAAGGCAGTTGATGTGCAGCTGCGTGTTCTCCAGGGTCTTCCGATGCTGGCCGACATTCTCGTCCACCTTCGTACAGTGGACGCCAGTCCACAAGAAACCTTCCACAAGAAACCCAACCCTGAGACCCCAGGGCATCCATCGATTCTTGGTGTGGGAACGTCACGCTTTTCATAGCAAAACAATCGAAACCCAAGAAACCCAGGGCACCCTGGAGGCAAGCAGGGTGTTTCTTGGAATGGGTCTCCACTGTCATCTCTGCCTTGAGGTCGTCACAGCGGACCATGACCTCCCTGCGCAGCGCGTCGAGCTTGGGGGTGACGGTGGCCATATGTGGCCATGATCTGAGCGTCGAGCTTCTGAGGGAGAGCAGCCATGTCTGTCATGCACTGCTCCAGGCAGCGGTCAAAGTTTGCCTGGAAGGACTCGGTGATGGTGCACGTCTCTTCGGCAACCACCTCTTGGCGGAGACGCCCACGATGTGCACCAGCTCGAGGCGCTCGGAGACCACGCCAGCGCAGATGGCACGGATGTGGTCGTCGTCGAAATCGCTGTCATCGTCGTCCATGCGAACGGGCTCAGCAGGAGAACCAGCAGCACCGGTGCCAGACGCAGCAGCACGAGGCGTGAGGGGATTACGCCGCAGCGCTTTACCAGGCCTGATGACCTTCTTGATCGGTGTCGCACATGATGCACCATTTGCGGCGGACATCGGAGACACAAGCCACTGAGAGAGCGCGAAGGGGGTTGCACGTGGGGGCGCCCAGATCCCGCAGTGAAGGCTGACAACGAATACCAGGCTGACCAGTCTTTCCTGCCGCGGACTCGCCGCATCCGTGCTCTGCCACGGACAGATGAGCATCTTGAGCCAAAATGGCTACGGAGGCGGGGGAGGAGGAGGGGGAGGAGGAGGAGGAGGAGGAGGAGGAGGAGGA